AGCCAGAATGTCTACTAATGTACCCACACTGTTACTATTATATTCAATGCCATATTAATCTTTTAAAACAGTATTTCTGTTTCATCTCAACTATCTTTGGCTGAATGAAAGGCAGTTGAGAACTATCTTGTAATCATACATAATATAATTATCATGTTAAATGTCTTGGGTTTCTCAGTAGCGCTTTTGTAATGGTCTTCAGATTGTGACCTTATTAACAAGTGCTTGTGTGCCCAGGTGGATCCCAGCTAAGTCGTCCTTAAATTCTGTTCTAATAGAAGTAAACTATAAGACAAGTCTAATTATACCCTACACTCATTTAGAGAACATCCCTCAAAAATAGTATGATTCCAGCAACCTTGACCTAAATTTATGCACACCAATGTGGACCTCTGACCAAAAACTGTGGGAGATTGCCCTTTGGATTTGGTACCTAAAGCCCAGTATTACAGCTGAAAGACCCCCCCATTGCTGAATGTGACCACACCTTTGGCCAGGGCTTGTGAATTAGCAGACCATGTGGGAGCTAGGATTTACTCAGTTCCAACTCATTGACAGTTTTCTGAGGTCCAAGCACCTGACTTTCTGGTAGTAAAGAAACCCAAGCACACAGCCAGTGATTTATGGCTATGGCAGAAATATAATGGACTGAGATATACCATATTAAATGCAAAATATCTAACATCTAGCAATGCATTCATTTTGTCTTTTGAATTAACATGCCCTGCTTATCATTTCTGAATGGAGGGGTAGGAGAGTGGAAGGTGTTAAAAGAAAAACATCCTCTTTCCATGGTAGTTTTACCTGCTTTTCCAAGCTAAATAGTAGGTTTTACATTTTACTACCACATGGTAGTATATAGTATAATTAAGGAGTGATTTCAAAAAGGTCCACAATCAAAAGGGTGAGTATATAGCTCCTTGTTCCATTTATGAATTTGCATTTCAAAGTCTTATGCCGTTAAAGTACTTAACTTTTAAATTTGAGTTCTGTGGAGAGACAATGCCAGAAACTTTTGCTGAGGCCTAATCCAAATTAATGTGAATCCCAAAAGTAAGTTGCTGCATGTGAAGGAAAGGTTTTTAGGTTTAAATTGAAGATGTACTCATTTTCTGTTGATCTGTATTCATTATGAATGAGAGAAATCTGATCTGATTGGCCATTGAAATTATGGGAGTGACCATGAGTTCAGCCATCTAATTTCTTACTGAAATCGAGCTCCTCCTTTGAAATAACCATGTACATATTTGTTAAAGTATTTTATAGCCCCATGTAAATAATTGATGTCTTTTTACATTTATTGTACCTTCATCTTGGATGTGAATTTACTGTCATAATTCACATGCTGGTTACTCATGTTCCTAAGTGAAACTAATGCTAGCCAGTCATATCACAGATTTTTCTTCATGAAGGTTTTGCTTATTGTGAAGAATATCTGAGGCAGTAGTCTTTTTTGTTATTAATTTTGGGGGCAGACTGGTGCTTTGATTTTAATAAAAATTAACTTTGGATTCTTACTGTGAATATTTTACCACAAGTATTTAATGGAAAAATTACTAAATGTTATCTCAGTAGAGTGTTAACTAGTTAATTCTTCCTTCATTACTACATTTGTGT